CTTTCTGCTTGGAGTACATTGCCCTTTGGCGGCTCCCAGGACCTGTGTGCCCCACTGCTCAGAGCATCTTGAAACCAACACTTAAGGAATGGACTCTCCAGGGCCACCTCCTCCCAACCCCGCCTTATAAGACCCCAGTGACCCTGGCATCTGCAGCCACAGCACTCATCAGGGTTCAGGTCCTGGGCAGTGCAGATTGGACCTGTGAGCTGGCATCTTCCCTGACAAGTGGCCATACGCACCATGCAGCTGAGGACCAACTTGAGCTGAGAATCAGGGCCTTTTAGAGGCTTCTGGCCTCTGCTTATTACAGCCCCTTTCCAGCTTCAAGCCAACACCAGGAGGAACTGATTTGGCGGCCTGGAGTTCAAGGCCGTGGGTTCTGATGGGCAGCACCCTCAAAGCCCAGGGCTGTTGGCGAGGATGGTGGTTAGGGTCTTTGCTCTTTTGCTTGCCTTGGAGCAACAGGAAGACAGACCTCAGCTGGATTTCCCAGCCCTACGCCTCCCCACCCCACCAACTGACAATGGCCACCTTAGATTGCTGCCCTGAGACTTAAGAGTCAGGGGAAAAGTATAGGCCTCCTTGGGGAGAGGAGAATACTGAGGCATGATGACTGAGGTACTCTGGAGTAGTGCTGGCCATGGCCCAGCTTGTGTAAGCTCTCCATACCTCCCAAAGTTGTCCTTGATCGCTGGTCTTGGGAGAACAAAGACCATGGCTGGATGTCCCTCTTTGCTCTCTAGTCTGGAACAATCAGGCAAAGGGATGGGGGCTGGGATTGTCACCTGCCCTGTTGCCTTTCTTGATGTCTCGCAGTGGGCACCACAATCCCAGAAAAGACCAGAAGAACAAGAACTGGGATAAGATACCAGCATGGAAAAGCTGTACTACCTGGGTTTGTATTTGGGAGAAAAGGAAGGTTGGGGTATGTGGGTAGATGGCAAGCTAGAGAGATCATCCTGGGGACCAGGGAAGGGGAGGGCTCTCAGGGAAGCCTGCTTTAGAGATAATCTTGGTTGAGACTGAGCCAAGGAGAAGAGGATTCAGTGAGTGTCCTTATTCCTGTGAGGCCTCCTTGGGGTAAGTACCCTGAAGCCACCGGCATTTATTAAGACTTCTTTCTCCAAGGGAGTCTCTAGGTGGTATAAACGGCTAACACACCCAGCTTCTAACCAAAAGGTAGGAGGTTAAAGTCCACCCAGAGGTATCTTGGAAGAAAAACCTGATGATTTGCTTCCAAAAAATTAGTCATTGAAAACCCTACGGAGCAGTTTACTCTGACACTGTGGGCTCACAATGAGTTGGAATTAACTCAAAGGCAACTGGTTCTTTGCCAAACACTTTCCCTACAGCATCTCTATTTCTGCAGCAACTCTACAAGGTAGGTGCTAGCATTCCATTTTACAGATGGGAAAAGGACTCCCAGAGATGTTACCTTCCCCAGGGCCACACAGTTCAATTGTGAAGGGTCAGAATCCAAAGGGACTTTGACCGGATGTGGCCCACCCGCAGAGGCCTATAGGGGAGAGGCTCTCTTGCTTCCTTCTGGCAACCTGGACCAGCATGTTGTAGGGGCCAGGGCCCCTCTGGCGGAGAGCAGGGTGTCTCTGAGAGAGGGACTTCTTTTCCCAGTGTTGGCCAGGACCTATTATTACCTTCAGGTAGCTTGGGGAGGATCAGGAAGAAGTCTGAGGAAGGACTTGGATGTGAGTGGGGTGAGAGGGGCAAGACCTCTTCTCTTAATACACGAGCTTCTTCTGGAAGAGGCAAAGGAACAAGTTCCTGGAAACTGCCTCAGGGCTCAGGGAGGAGAGGAACAGGGATAGTGGCAAGAGGAGTAGGGGAAAGGCCCAAGAAAGACTGGTCAAGCTGTCAGCAGGATGTATGTGTGGTGGGGTGCTGATCGCCTCCTGCCTCTCTGTGGGGGGCAAACTCAGTTCAGTTGCCTATTGGAGGGCAGTTGATATCATGGGAAGAGGGTTGAGTTAGGCAAATCTGGATCTTCCTGGACCATTAATGAAATTTTCTACCTCTCTGGGATTCATTCATTCACTTAACAAAATTGAGGATCCACTTTGTGCCAGGCCCTATACCAGGCTGTGGGATTTAGAGTGAGCAAAGTAGATAAAAACTTTAGCTCTCCTGGACTTTATATTCTAGTTGGGAGAGAGACAAGAAACAAGGTAATTAAAATGTATAACTTATTAGATAAGTGCTAAGGAGAAAAAAAATAAAGCTGAACATTTGAATCACTGCAGGGGTGATATGAAAATTTTAGATAGTGAGGTCAAGAAGGGTCTTCTGAGTAGGTCTTTGACGAAATACCTGAGGACAGTATGAGTTTAGTCAGGAAGCTGTGGAGGGAAACTGTATTTAGGACGAAGGAGCAGCCCATGCAAAGGCCCTGAGGCAGGAGCCAATCTACAGGATTAGAGGATCAGCAAGGAGACCAGAGTGACTGGAGCAGAGAGAAGGGGCAGGGAAACAGGAGATGAGATCAGAGAGGTCATAGGGGCCAGATGAAGAAGGGCCTTATAGAGCACAGAAAGAATTTTGGTTTATACTCTGAGCCCTCGGGGGAGCTCTGGTAGCATAGTGCCTAAGGCACTTGACTGCTAATCAGAAGACTGGCGGTTCAAACCCACCAACTGCTCCTCGGAAGGAAGGTTGGGCAATCTACTTCTGTAGTGATACTGCCTCGGAAACCCAAGGAGGGGTCGCTATGAGTTAGATATGACTCGACGGCACACAACAACAACAACTGAGCCCTCGGAGGGTTTTGAGCAGGGAAGTGAACTGTTTGTATAGTGAGGAGGTTGGAAGGGATGACCACGGAGGCCCTTTCCGGTTAGTCAGCCTGTGACTTGGTGTCTCTCTTTTGGTTGGAGATGCCTTCCTTCAGAGCATTACAGTCTGATGTGGGGAATGAGTTTGTGTATGTGTGTGTCTCTGTAGCAGGAGAATTTGGGCTGAGATTTCCACTTTTCTGGGTCATTGACAATAAGTTTGGACTAAACCCACTGCCCAAGAGCTCTGGTGGCATAGTGGATAAGGCATTTGACTTGAACCAGAAGGCCAGCAGTTCAAACCCACAAGCTGCTCAATGGAAGGAAGAGGGGGTGATCTACATCCATAAAGATTTACGGCCTAAAGAACCCAGTGGGGGTCGCTATATGAGTCAGATTCAACTCAGTGACAGTGAGTTTAGTTTTGTTTTTTTTTTTAAATCCACATCCACTGAGTCAATTACAACTCAAAGCGACCCCCATTGGGTTTCCAAGGCTGTAAATCTTTATGGAAGTAGATTGCCTCATCTTCCTCCTGTGGAGCATCTGGTGGGTTTGAACCAGTGACCTTCTGGTTAGCAGCCAAATGTTTGGACTGGGTAACCTTTGAAGTCCCATCTAGCCTTGAGATTTAGGAGCCTCTCCAAGTGTTCAGTTGGGGGAATTTTCCACATGGCAGCATGCCAGCTGCATGTGTAGGACTCCACCCAGGAACACTGTGACAGGCCTGGCCCTGGGCAGGTTTACCCCTGTTTGGCCAGTGGTGAGGAGGAATAAGAAGCCTGAGGTCAAGGCTGCCTGCCCAGCCCCAACCAACCAATCCCTCCTGCATAGCTGATAACTTTTTAGTCTCGATTCATCATTAACTTTCAACCTCTAGGCAGCTCCCCTTGGAGTCATTAGTCCTTCCCTCAGGGCCAGAAGTGTTGATGAGCAGGAACACAGAGAAGTGCATTGTCAGAATGGCCTAGAGTAAGGGCCAGAGGCTGGAGCCAGGACCAGCCCATGTGGATCTCTTGTCTTCTGCATCTGTGTTTCGGTGGACGTGTCTGGTACCCCACAATGAACCTGAGGAAACTGTGTCACAGTGAGCCCCAGAGCTGCTCAATAGCTGAGCCTTGCTCCTGGCCCTATCAGAGGCATCAGAGACCCTGCTGAGCCACGGAGAGATGGGACTGTGTTGTTGGCTCTTGGCTCCCACTGGGGAGAGGCTCCCCATCCTTGCCTTGGGCCTAGAGCAGCACTGCCTTCCGGCTATTCCCCTCTGGTGCCAGCAAGCAGCCAGTGGAGGCTTCATTAGGCTGCCAGTGTCTCCGGCTGGGCTGCTGAGGTGTTGGGGTGGGGTCGGGGGGAGCGGTTCTGACATCATAGCCTGCGATAAATCCCTGGGGGCTGATGGAAGGGCTGCAGAGAGGAAAGACAAGTTATGATGGGAGTGGCCTCTACATCAGCTCCCACTCCCCAGCTATCCCCTATTCTCTGCCTGGTTACCTGAATGACCCAGAGGCTGCAGCTGGCCCCTCAGGCCCCTAGGATTGCGCTGTGGAAAACATCCACGAGGTAGCTTCCAAGGGCCTGCTGTTTTTCTGTCCAGTGTCTGGGGGCTTGTAGCTACAGAACTGGAACCTTAGAGCAGGATATATCAGGGCAAAAGCCCAAGTGAGATCCACCAAAAATCATCGTGCTCACCAGGGGCTGGAGGACAAAGGGTCAGCTGAGTAAAGGCTCAAGGGATCCATTAGTGCCCCGAGTGTTTCCTTCAGCTGCTTCCACTCCAGGTGCCAGGTAGACAATGGGTGCCTTGATACTTGCTGGCTCCAGCCCCATCCAGTGCCCTACTGGCTTTTGGCAACCTTTGCACCCTGGGCTGCCTGGAGGGTTCTGGCTGCGGCATCGAACCACTGAGGGCTGCAGGAACCAGCGTGGAGGCCGGGTTTGCTCTTCTGTGGTTTACTGCTTCCTTCTCCCTCAGAGGACAGGTGGAGGTCAGAGAATCTCCCCCAGCTCTCACGTGGATCCCTTGCCCTAACCTGCCTTGGAGGTGGGCAGGAGGCAAAGGTGCCCTTGCCAGCCCCTCCTCACTGCCTTTTTCTCTTCCTCTCTGTGGGCTCAGCTGAGGTGTGGAGGGAGGGAGTGCCACTCGTACCATCCAGGCTCTGGCAACTGGCATTTCACAGCTCTCTCACCAAAGGACACAGCCAGCACTCCGCCATGGACAGGTGGTACCCAGGTGAGTCCCCCTGGACACTGCCCCTTCCCACCTTCTCAGGCTCCAAGACAGTGTCTACTCCATGGCTTTCCAGGGTACCCACCAGGTCCAAGGAGTTGGGGTGGGGGGCGGAAAGCAGAAACAAGAAAAGCAAGATTTCCAAACAAGAGTATTATAGAATGGCATCTGGGCAGGCTGTGATGTGGGTCCAGGGCAGTTCTAGATCCCTAGAAATAACTAGTCCACAGCCTCCTTATCTATCTGTGTGTCTATCCCTCTATCTTCAAGAACACTGATGCCAGAGTACTGGGTTCAAATCTTGGTTCCCCCACTTCCTAGTTGCCTGACCTCAGACAAGTTACTTAAATTATCTGTGCCTGTTTCTATAAAATGGGGATGACAATAAAACTTTACCTCATAGAGTTGTTGTGGGGTTAAAGGAATTAGTTTTTATAAATGCTTAAAGCAGTGCCTTGCACACAGAGTTCAAAAACAGAGCAGTCACTTTACTTTTCCTATTTCTCCTTTATTCTTCTACCTACCTGGCTATAATGCAGCTATCATCTATCTAACTTTCCACCTATTTCTATACCCCTCATTATTCTAGAAAGGGTCCCTAGTAGCTTACAAAAACAGACAACACACACTAAGATAACAAGACTGTTGTTGTTGATAAGGTGCCATTGAATTGGTTCCTACTCACAGTGACCTTATATGCAACAGAACAAAACACTGCCTCATCTAACACCATCCTTAGAATTGTTGCTGTGTTTGAGCCATTGTTGCAGCCATTGTGTCAAGCCATCTCATTGAAGGTCTTCTTCTTTTTCGCTGACCCTCTACTTTACCAAGCATGATATCCTTCTCCAAGGGCTGGTCCCACCTGGTAACATGTCTAGAGTACATGAGATGAAGTATCACCATCCTTGCTTCTAAGGAACATTCTGGCTGCACTTTTTCTAAGATATATTTGGTTGCTGTTCTGGCAGTCTATAACATATTCAATATTCTTCACTGACACCATAATTCAAAGGCATTAATTCTTGTTCAAGGTAACAAGAGAGTATACAATAAAAGCAGGGTAGGGCGGCATTCTCTCTCTTATGGAGAATAGCAGCAGCTATAGTAGAAAAGTCTTGAGGACCTGGGCTTTCTAGCTGTGGTTTTACTACCAACTGTGTGTTTCAGGCAAGTCCCTCAACCGTCCTGCCCTAAAGTTTTCTTGTTTACCAGGCAACACTCATGACACTGCTCTATCTCTGAGAGTTGTAGGAAACAAATAATCAGCCTCAGTTTCTTTATTTTTCTATAAAATGGAGCTAAAATGGATTGAATGAAATAGTGCATGCAAAGGCTAAGTGATAAACCCTTAAAAACCAAAAAAAAAAAAAAAAAAAGCAAATTCACTGCTGTCAATTCAGAGCCGACTGATAGTGACCACTCTTTGGGTTTCCGAGGCAGTATCACTAGGGAAGTAGATTGCTCAACTGTCCTTCCGAGGAGTGGCTGGTGGGTTTGAACCATCAGCCTTCTGGTTAGCAGTCAAATGCCTTAGGCACTACGCCACCATAGCTCCCTTATGAAGGTTAAAAACCAACAGAAAGACCAAACTCACTGCCATCAAATTGATTCCAACTCATAGCGACCCCCGTTGGGTTTCCAAGGCTGTAAATCTTTACAGAAGTAGATTGCCTCATCATCCTCCTGCAGAGCAGCTGGTGGATTTGAATCACCAACCTTCTGATTAGGAGCCAAATGCCTTACCCACTACACCAGCAGAGCTCCTTACTTACAAAGATTAGCCCCTATGATATTTGTATGAGTCTGTATCACCTAGCTCTGCAAGTAGAAGAAAGCTGAGTGGGTGTCATGGCTCCTGGTCTGCACGGCCAAGACATTTTCTCTTTCATGTCACCCCCATGCCGTTGGCTTTCCTGTCTCCGACAGCTATGTTCAACACAAAGCTAATGCCTATAATTTCTCCAATCAACACACATAGAACAGTAAAAGTAATGACTTTAACTAATATTTCTCAAACACTTTCTGTGAACCAGACCCATGTGAGGCTCCTTCCATGCATTATCCTATTTACTCCTCTCAACAACCCTATGAGATCTGTCCTGTTTTACAAAGAAGAGACTGAGGCATGAAGAGGTTAAATAACTTGACTGAGGCCATATAATTAGCAAGTGGAAGAGCCTAGATGTGAATTCAAGTGCTGATCCCCTGTCACAGCTTGAGGAGGACTTGTAGACTGCATCATTTTTTTTGGACATGTATTATGGCCCTTGGTGGACACTGGCCTTGGCCCTTTTGGCTACTGTTGAGCATTGGCCTTTCCTGGAGGCCAGTTCAATTGATTAGGACTCATTGAAGATTCTGCAGCACCCCGAGCTCCAGGCACCAGAGTCCCTGAGGTGAAGGAGGCCGCAGTGGAGTGGAGACACAGCTAAGGAGACAGGGGAAAGCACCCAACTCTTGAAGTGGGAGGCCTGAGTGGTGACCTCTACTCACTCTTCACTAGCTGTATGACCTTAGGCAAGGCTCCCAACTTCTCCGTGCCTCAGATGCCTTGTCTATAAGATGAGTGAATACTGCAAAGCTCAAACAGTCAGAAGACAGTTACAAAGGTGCTTTATTAACCATAAAAGCAAAGTATTCTTCCAATGATAAGACTTGGTCCCTTCCTTCAGGAGCTTACAACTCCTCGTGGGAACCTGGCGTGGAAACAGCTAGAGAGCTGGGCTGGACAAAGGGCTCAATGGCTATAGAAATGGAGTTCTGAGGGCAGCAGGGAAGGAGCAATTAGTTAGGGATGACTGACACTTTCTGTGTGAGGTGTGAGCTGCTAGAGCTGGCCTGATGGGCAAATAAGATAAGACAGGAGAAGGCATTCCAGGGTGAGCAAAGGCTGGAGGTGTGAGTATGTGTGGTGTGCCATGGGGGTCCGTGAGCAATGTCGTGGAGGGGAGGGGACAAGGCAACTTGGGAACACATCAGGGATGCCTTTAGTTTTCCCCCCACAAGGAGTAACAGTTGCCATAGTAGCATCCACAAGGGTTGGGGCCTCAGATATTGCCTCCCAAAAAAGTTCCCAGGTGGAGTATACTTTGAAAATACTTTGAAACTTCCACTTCCCAGTTCCTACCACCACAGCGTGGCTCCTCCAGCTGGTGGAAGAACCCCACTGCTGGCCTGTTCCTCACCCTTCTCTTTGGAAATTTCCTTTGGGAGGGTTTGGAAATTCAGCTCCTCCCTGCTCTTCCTCGAGCTGCAACAGGAGTCCCTCCGTCTATACCAGGGCTTTTCTTGTGACCAAGGTAAATATTACCTGGCACTGTTAATGTTTAATGCCCCCACCTCATCCCCAGTCACCCCCCCCCCCCCCCCAGACTCTCTCCCTGAAGTACAGGCAGCAGGAGGAGGTTAGCAGAGACAGCTGGAGAGATGGCAGGGTTGGCGACAGACAATGGTGAGTATGTGTGTGTTATGTGTGAAGCTGTGGGTTGCTTCTGCTGGCCCTCTCTCTTCCTGTGGCCTCTCCTCCCTCCTGATATCCCTGTCTTCCAGAGACCCCAACTCTCTAGTGCCAGCCTCCTCTCTAGAAAATTTGCATTTATATAGAGGACTTGGTCTTAAACCCAGAGAAATGTTGCTTGAACAGTAGAACTTCACCAAGCAAAAGCTGGTGGGAGTGAGTGTCCAGTCTCGACTTTGTGGCAGGCCCCTACTCTTGCTCCATGCACAGTGAGTCTGCTGGTCTGTCTGAACTCAGAGCAGGAGGTGGACGAGGCCAGGCAGGAGAGGAGCTGGTCTTTCCGGGCAGTCTTCCTGACTGACTTTGGGGAAAGAGTCCCTGAGTTCAGGGCTTACTCTCAGAAGGCATTGTGTGAGGGACGTGACTAAGGCCTGGAAGCCAACAGAGGCATCTGTTTATTGCAGTGAGTTTTGAGTTGAATCTAGAAAAGGTGAGGGTTTTGGGGGAGGAGGAAGCTCATGAAATGACTCAAGATGAGGTGGTCAGGGAGGGGGTGGTTTCCTGGTGTGGTGAGGGGACTCCCTAGTTAAGTCTAGTCATGGTGCTGACATTTCTCCCCCTATGACCTTGGACAAGGAGATCTGGTGGCGTGGTGCCTCAGGCATTTGACTGCTAACCAGAAGGTTGGTGGTTCAAACTCACTAGCTGCTCTTCAGAAGGAAGATGGGGCAATCTACTTCCATAAAGATATTCCGTCTTGGAAACCCAATGGGGATCATTACGAGTTGGAACTGACTCAGTGTCAGTGGAGTGGATTACCTTGGACAAGACCTGAACCAAATCTGAGAAGGCAACCTTGAAGGGCTCTGTATGGGAGCAGGGTTCTTGGGCCCCTATGGCCTTCCCTGGGCCTCTGGCCTTACTGAGCATTGGTCCCTCAGGTCCCCCAGGACCAAGAACTGATTGCTCCTCATCTGTCCTCTCCTGTCCCAGAGATCAGGTTGCAGGGGACAGCCAGGCTCAACAGGCCCTGAGGCCTCCCACTGAGGGGCAGGGAGTAGAGGGCAGGGGCACAGTTCAGCACAGACTGGGAGCTGCCGACTTGCACATTCCTTGGGCCTCAGGCACTCCTGCCCTGGTGCCTAGAAGGGGCTCAAGTAGGACAGGAAAGAGTGGCAACCCTCAAGTATGATAGAAAAGCTCTGGCCAGGCTGCCCTGCAGCTGCCCAAGGGCAAGGGTACATAGGTGACAGGGCTGGAGGGCAGAGCTGTGACATTTGCTGGCTGCTGAGCAGCTTCCATGCAGGGTGGGAAAAGTCACGGGAAACAGGGGGCAGGGCCTAGGCTTTTGCCTTGAAAAGTCTCCTTCCTATCATCTGAGAGGCAGCATAGCAAAAGGGGTAAGCACCAAATTTCTTAGTCACCCACTGCCTGGGTTTAAATCCCAGGTCTACCCCTTGCCTGCTAACCAGACGGCTGGCGGTTCAAACCCACCAGCCACTCCTCGGAAGGAAGGTTGGGCAATCCTACTTCCATAGTGATACTGCCTCGGAAACCCAAGGAGGGGTCGCTATGAGTCGGGGCCGACTCGACGGCACATAACAACAACAACAACAACAACCCCTTGCTAGCTGTGTAACTATGGATGAATTACTTAACCTTTCTGTCCCCCTGTTTTCTCATGGGTTATATTAGAATAATAATAATAATGCCTCACAGGGTTGTTATGCTGGTCAAATTAGCTATTATTTTATGAATCCCTCAGCCTGGCACATAGTCAAACCCAAAACCAAATGCATCACCATCAAGTCAATTCTGATTTATGGTAATTCACATGACAGAGTAGAATTGCCCCATAGGGTTTCCAAGGCTGTAAATCTTTATAGAACAAATTGCCTCATCTTTCTCCCATGGAGCAGATGATGGGTTTGAACTGCCAACCTTTCTGTTAGCAGCCAAATGCCTTAACCACTGTACCACCAGGGCTCCTGGGATAGTTGGCACTATATTAATGCTTGTTAAAGAAATTTTCTTCCTCTGAGGATGGCAAAATAGGAGTGTGGAAAGAATTTAGAAACCTGGGCTCTACGTTCAGTTCTGCCTCTGATTTCCTTTGGGACTTTGAACAAGTCTCCAAATTGGGCCTCAGTTTCCTCTCTGTTCAATCTGACTTTAAGATTTGATTTGTTCATTTATTTCACAAATATTTGCTAAGCATCTTCTAGTTGATTAGTTACATGGAGAGACTGCTAGTGAGTCTAACGGGAGATGCCTTTCTTGGTCTTGTCTCACTACTGTAAGAAAGAAGAAAGCAGCAACCACCTCTCAGAGTTGCCTGAGATCCCCACAAACAGCGCTGATTCCATTTTGGAAAAGTTGACTGTGTCTAAAGCAGCCTAGGGCAGATGCCACCACATATTAGCAAACCCACTAACGGCACCTTGCCCACTTGGACCCTCAGGGCCGCTGGGAAGGGAAAAACAGGAAATCCTGTTTTCCTTACCCCTCACCCCTCCCTGAAGCTGTCTTCTTTACCTCTTACCCCTCAGGTGGTAGCTCCAAGGGAGAGGTGGACCCATTCTATTATGGTAAGTCTGGGAATCCCCTGCTCCCCACCCTTCCTGATCTCTGCATTCCCTACTCCCAGCCTCATCCAGGCCTGGGTCCCTATTATATCCCCAAAACCTCCCAGTTACCAAGTGGGTTGCAGGGAGGGGGCTGGGAGAGGTGAACCATCCTACCTCTCTTGTCCTCTCCTTCCTGAGACTATGAGACTGTCCGCAACGGGGGCCTGATCTTCGCTGCCCTAGCCTTCGTCGTGGGGCTCATCATCATCCTCAGTAAGCAAGGTGGCCCTCATGGTGACAGAGGGTGTTGGGTGAAGGGCACATCCCTTCTCAAAGCCTCAGGGCACACGGGCTCCCAGGTGGAGGGGGGTGCTCTCTTACCCCCTCCCAGATCCGGGAGGAGGAGTGTGTCCCCTTCTGAATGTGGGGAAGGGGAGAGGCTTCTTGAGATGCCCCTGGGTTCTTAGAAAAACAGGGTGAGGGTCCCTCTTTCTCCTGTGGACCTGAGAGGAGCTGCTGAGACAGGAAGCAAATGGAGGCCATGCAAGCAGGAGGGACCAACCCAATCTGCGGGCTGTCCTAGACTTTAGTTACATCTTAGACCTTGTAATTCTCTCAACTACACTGAGAGACGGCCACTATTTTGCTTTTCTGAGACCACCCTGACAGTATTATCAAAAATAAAAAACAAACTGGTTGCCATGAAGTCAGCTCCCACTCATGACACTCTCACATGTGTCATAGTCAAACCACACTCTGCAGGGTTTTCAATGACTCAATTCCATATGCAGATGGCCAGACTTTTCTTCTGAGGTGACTCTGCGTGGATTCGAACCTCCGATCTTTCAGTTAGCAGCTGAATGCATTAACTGTTTGTATCACCCAGGAACAAAAGCTGCAGCAACTTGCCAATAGTTGTTCTGTAGCCAATAAGAAGCAGGACCAAGTTCATCTGAACTCAGGTCTGTCTGTCTCCTGATGGCTAGAAAGCAAAGATGTCTAGGAGTCAAAGGCCTTGGTCCTACTGTTAATTTGCTGTGGACCCCTGAACCCCTGGGCCTCAGCTTGCACACCTATTAAATATGGTTAGGAACAGCATCTAAAGATGTGGCAGACAAGAAAGCATTTTAAAAAGGATTTAGTGTACACATGGAATGGTCTGGAGGAGAGAAGGGTCCTTAGATATCCTCCAGCCCTAGCAGATACACCAAACCAAAACCAAACCCCCTGCCATCGAGTAGAGTCCAACTCTTAGTGACCTCCATATGGTTTCTAAGGCTATAAATCTTTACAGAAGTAAATTGCCTCTTCCTCCCACTGAGCAGCTGGTGGGTTTGAACCACTGACCTTCTGATTAGCAGCCAAATGCCTTATCCACTGTGCCACCAGAGGTCCTTCAGCAGACACACAGCAGATGCTTAATCAATGCCTGTTGACTTATTTTGGTGCATCCAGAAGAAAAATACACAGAAACACAAACCGGTGAGAAGAAAGCAGGTTATACAGCAAACATGGAGTCCCTGGGTGGTACAAACGGCTGATGTATGCGGCTGCTACCCTAAAGGTCGGAGGCGTCAGTCCCCCTGGAGGCACCTCAGAAGAAAGGCTTGACAATCTGCTTCTGAAAAACCAGCCATGAAAGCTTTATGGAGCACAGTTCTCCTCTACTCTGACACATGTGGGGTCGCCTGAGTTGGAACTGACTCAACGATAACTGGTTTTGGTTGCAAACACACTGCTTTGTCCTGAAATTCTAACACATCAAAGTCAACGTCTCAAACACTTTGATCTGCACGTCTGACTGGTCTCACTGACTGGGCCGTAAGCTCCTTGAGGGCAATGCAGTGCCATGTCTGAGCACACTGGTGTGGAGGCAATGGGGCTGAGCAGAAATCTAGTACTTACTGCCACTCTTCCCAGGATCCTCACCAAGTGCCTGTTGAGCAACTGCTATGTGCCAGGCCCTGTGCTGGGGCATCATGGTGGCCTAGCAGGCTTGACTGCTACTCTCAATGTGCTCAGGCCACTTTGGACCCACAAGGAAGAGGAACTCAGCAGATGTTTGTTGACTGACTGACTTAGGCTTTTAAATGCTTATGGTCCTGTCCTATGTGAAGAGACATGCAGTCAAATATGGCCTCCAATCAGGCACTGTGGTAGTACCATCAGGAGGGAGGGAGGCGAGGTGAAAAGACCTGAGTCCTCTCAGGTAGAGGCCTCCTGGGAAGAGAGACTAGATGAAAACTCACTAACCTCCTTCTCTCTCTTCAAGGCAAGAGATTCCGCTGTGGAGGCCAACAGAAGCGGCGGTGAGTGCCTGCCCAGGGAACCTGAGGTGGGCGGGTACAGGTCCAGGAGTTTCATCTCTGAGGCCTGTGAGGAGGGGTCCCCAGCCCCAAGGACCCCTAGACTTACCACCCCCCTGATCTCTAACCTGGCTTTTTCCTCCCCCACCCCAGGCAAGGCAGTGAAGATGAGCTTTAACACAGGTGAGTTTGGGAGGGGTGGGGAGGGGTGCTATGGAGGAACAAGTATTTGTATGAAAGCAGCTTGATTGGGACGGGCCCAGAAGGATTTCAGGGTCACCCATCCACCAGCAAGGCCATCTACCACCCATCAAGTGCTTTTCAATGATTGCCAAGTGCCTGGCATGGAGTGTGTGATAAAGGGGGGGGGCAGAGCACCCCTAGAGAGGTAAGAAGGACAAGGAATGCAACCAAAGTCCCTACCTCTGCCCCCACTCTCAGCCCAAATCCTGCATTTGTCTTTTCAGGGCCAGCTGTGTCCACCCCTGGCATCAGGGATGGCTGGGAAGCCAAGGATGCTCCCACTCTGCAGGAAGTCTCCCTTGGGCCATGGCCTTTCAGCCTTGCCACACAGCCAGGCCCTGGGACTGGTACCAGGCTCCATGTGAAGAGAGATGCCCAGCCACCCTCATGCTAATAAAAAAGCCGGCCTCAGGGAGGGCTCTCTTCCTTCTAGAACTGCTATGGCCCACGTCTCCTGGTTGGTGTACATACACAGTCCATGACTTTTGTTTTCCAGTGAATTCCCCAGGCACATTTGCCTATTAAAGCAAGTCCACTATCGACATCTGTGGGTCTCTCCTCACCCCCTGAATTGACAAGAGCCCTGGGGACAGAGGACTTGGTTCTGGGGAGTCTGAAGGGTGTTGCAACAGGTTCCAAGCTATTGAGTGCTGCTGTGGCATTTGCCACAGCAACTGGGTGCTGCTGGTGGAAGTTACCCGCATGGGAGTGGCTGCCGAGTGGCAGACGTAGCTGTTTCTGCCGCCATTTCCCCAAATGCACCACTGCAGATGGGAGGTGTGTGTGTGGGCGGGGGGAATTGGAGGGGATCAGGGAGCTAATGTTGAAAATCAGATCTGCTGGAACCAGCCTTCTCCCTCCCACTCCAGACCCGGAAGTTAGCTCCTTTTTCAATCTAGGTGCCTGAGGACCCCAGCTGGGCCCACTCCCATCACCTAGCTGGGGCGGAGTGGACTGTGAGGGTGAGGCGATTGTTGTAGCTTCGTGCGGCCGCCAGTCCGTTCAGACAGGGACCTCCCAGTGCAATCTCAACCCAGATGGTATTAGACAGCCACTCCCTCCGGCACCCTACTTCCTACGTTGGTGGCCAGGGCCCTTGCAATGTCCTCCCCCACGGACAGTTTCTGCTCTCAGGAAGGAGCCTCTCTTCTCTCCCTCTTTTCCCTACCGAGGCCTCCAAGGAGACTGGACGGGATGGCGGGATTACGGCGCCACCTAGTGTCTAGTTTTCCAACTTGGCTCTGTTACAAGCAGTTGAGGGATGGGGAGGGAGGAATTGGCAGAGCAATCAAGGGCTGCAGCAAGTGACTAGAGTTTAAAATGAGCACAGCGTGTGGGGAGGCAGTGTAGAGGGTGTGTGTGGGGGTTGTGGGGACAGAGGCAGGTGAGCCACCGTTCTGCTTGAGAATTTTCCTTTATCTTTCTGCCGATTGCTTACAGAATCATGTAAAGTTTGAGTGGGAAAGGTCCTTAGAGAGCAAAATTGACAATACTCACTTTACAGTGGACTCCCTGGGTGGTGCAAATGATTAATGTGCTTGGCTGCTAATCTGAAGGTTGGAGGTTCAAATCCACCCAAAGGTACCTCAGAAGAAAAGCCTGGTGATCTACTTCCAAAAATTAAGCCATTGAAAACTATGGAGCACTGTCTTACTGTGACACGAGTCAGGGTCATGGTGACAACCACTGGAATAATAACATTTTACAGAAAGGGCAACTGAGCACCAAGAAAGGAAGTGAATTGTCCATCTAGCCTGTATCAAAGCCAGACCTTCCAGCTTCCACACCAGGGCTGGTCACCTCTCGGTGCAGCAGCTTACCCTTTCCTACCCTCCTTGAGCCTTCCTGGAGCCATCCTCTGAGCTATGCCCCTAATGTATGCCCCAAAGCACACATTGGCATCCAGGGTGGGACAGGGGAAGGTGTCAACTCCACATACCTGCCTGTGAAAAAAAGGGAAGGCCTGGGGTTGGGGAAGTAGCTTCAGAGATCAGAAGTCATGTTGAGGAAAGCCTGGCTACTTGCAACTCAGCACCCTTTGTGACATGCTGTTCTGAGGGTGGGATCCTCATGACAAAATGTGGCAGGCCAACCCCCTAAAAAGAATTCACACACCTGAGGCTGTCTGTGAAGGTGGAAGAAATGAAGAGGAATGGGGCAGCCCAGTCAAGAGGGCTCTCACCAGAGTTTTGAATATAGCTGCAAGGCAAACCAGAAGGGGGATATTCCAGTTGACTGGTTCAAACCCACCAGCCACTCCTCAAAAGGAAGATTGGGCAATCTACTTCCATAGACATACTGCCTCAGAAACCCAAGGAGGGGTCACTATGAGTTGGGATTGACTTGATGGCAGTGAGTTTGGTTTTTTTTTTTTTTTTCTTGGTGGGTCACTGGAGCAGTAAGAGCAGTGGAGAGGAGTCATGCTTCTAGAATATTCTATTCTTAGAGGCCACCAGCATGCCACACTCAGAGGGGACTTCCAGCTGCTCTGGAGAGAAATGGTCCTGGATAAGTCAGTTCCCCTCTCTGCTCTTCGGTTCACTCCTCAGTGAAAGGTGAGGCTTCACCAGGTTACCGACTCTGGAGAGCCTGGGATGCTTTTTAAGCAGCTCAGGATCCCCTCCAGACCTGTTGACGTCTTGGTGTGATGCTTAACAAGCTCTCTGGTGATGCTAGAGAGCACCCAGAATTGAGACCCACCGATGGAGGTGACATTCTGAGGTCGGTGACCTGCTCCCTGACCCAGACCCTTGTTAATGCTTTCCCTTCTTTATCCAGGAAAACCAAATGAACTGGGACTTACTTCACTTTCACTTCACTTTGGGACTTTCTGCAATTCAGACTTGTTTTGAGTCACAAAGAATGACCAAGTCTAGGAAGTGATCGAAAGAACCTCTCTTAATCCCATGGCGGTAAGAAAGCAGCTTCAGAGAGGTGGTTGCAATTCCCTTACAACCACCAGGGGGAGTATGTGGTTTACACTGAATCTCCTTCAAAAGCGCATTTTCAATGGAGCCTTTCCCTGGGGCCAAGGCCTTAGCCTCTGTGGTGTGTGTGTGTGTGGGGGGGGGGCAATGTGGTGGGGGAGGTCTCCTGAATTGTCTCTATCCTGGCCTGGTTTTCAGGAAAAGGCTTGAGCTCTTCTTATTCCAAGTTTCTTCTTTTTACTACTCTCCTCACCGGGGATTGTATAAATGCAGAGCCTGTGGCATTTCTATACCCCTTCACTCTTGCCTTTGCTCTGCAAGATTTCTTCAAGCACCTGCAGTCTGCCCCACCTTGGCTTGCACTCCCCAAACAGGTGAGGAAGAAATTAATGACTTTCAATTTGATCTGATACTAAAGGGCCTCAACAGGTGGCAACATCCTGGATAGTAATGTTGTTGTTGTTGTTATGTGCCGTCGAGTCGGCCCCGACTCATAGCAACCCCTCCTTGGGTTTCTGAGGTGGTATCACTAGGAGTAGCTGGTGGGTTTGAACCTCCAGCCTTCTGGTTAGTAGTCAAATACCTCAGGCATTACACCACCAGAGCTCATAATAGTAATAACAACTGACACTTACATAGCCCTTACCTTAAGCCAGACAGGCTTCCAATTGCTTTTTAACATACTAACTCATTTAATCTTTATGAAAACCCTTTGAAGTTGGTGCTAGTATCATCTCCATTTTACAGGTGAGGAACTGAGAGGTTAAGTTAATTGCCCAAACTCACCCAACAAGTAAGTGACTGAGCAGAGATCCAGATCCAGGCACTCTGGCCCTAGAGCAGTGGCTTTCACTCTTGGAATTACCTGTTGTTGTTGTTGTTTGCCATAGAGTCGGCCCCGACTCATAGCGACCGCTCCTTGGGTTTCCGAAGCAGTATCACTACGGAAGTAGGATTGCCCAACCTTCCTTCCGAGGAGTGGCTGGTGGGTTTGAACCGCCAGCCTTCTGGTGAGCAGTCAAGTGCCTTAGGCACTATGCTACCAGAGCTCCTTTGGAATTACCTGGGAGCTTTAAAAATATACGGTTGCCTGGTCTCACCCCCAAGATTCAGATTTAATTGGTTTGGGATGTGGTCTGGCTGGATAAGAACCGCTACACTAGACTACCACCATCCGTCTGCCTGTTAGTCATCCTGTGGTGGCTTGAGTGGGGCTATGATGCTGGAAGCTATGGCACCATTATTTCCAATACCAGCAGGGGCAACCATGGTAGACAGGTTTCAGTGGAGCTTCTGGGCTAAGATAAACTACAAAGAAAACCCTGGCGATCTACTTCCAAAAATCAGCCAATGAAAACAAAAACCCCATGGATCACAGCAGGATATTGTCTGATACAGTGCTGGAAGATGAGTCCGCTGAGTTGGAAGGCACTCAAAATACACAGGGGCTGCAACAGTGGACTAAAGTATGCCTATCAACGGGAATATGGCGCAGGACTGGGTAATGTTTCCTTCTGTTGTACATGGGCTCGCCGCATATCTGAGCCAACTCTGCAGCAACTAATAACGAGCACTAGACCAGAGCTTCTGATTTTGATGTGCATACGAATCACCTGGGGCTGCCGTTAAAATGCAGAGCCTGATTCAGTGGCTCTGGGGTGAGGCCTAGGATTCTGCATTTCTAACAAGCTCCCCATGCTGCTGGTCCAGGGACCACACTTTGAGTGGCAAGGGTCTAGAATCTATCACATAATCACCATGGTAACCTGCCTCTTTAAAATAGCAAAACATATTCTGTTTATTATGCACCAGTGCTGTTCCAAGCTCTCTACGTGTTTTAAACCATCCAACACACATGGGGTCACTGTGACTTGGAGTCAACTGTAATTGGTACCTGACCAAAGTCAAGAGCAATCACACAAGTGGAACCAGGGAAAACAAGGCAGAGAATGGGACAGGGACAAGAGATGAGGAGAAGGGACAGAGGCTAGCCAG